GTAGAAATATATTTACAGTAAAAGTTACATCATGTTTGCAAGGAGATGAATCTTGTGAGTTCTCTGGGGAAAGCCATGGGTGGGAAATGACTTTAAGTAGCTGGGTATTTCAATTTTACGATGACAATGGAGGAGGGGCTTGGGTTCCCCTGTGGAGGGATGGGCCACAGGTGAGGACAACAGAAGCTAAACCTCAGATGCTTAGCCCAGTCACTCCATGTCATGGCTCAGCAGGAGAATACTCACTAGGAGCTGGGGTTTGGGGAGTAGTGGCTCAGTGATGGAGTCCTGTCTGACTGGACCAGTGAGGGGTCGAAGGCATACTCAGCCAGGAGAAGCCCTCCTGAATCCACCACCAAGGGGCTAGGAGTAGCAGTAGCAGGCTTGCCTAGTATGTACAAAGCCTTGGCACTGCATAATTAACTAATTAAAATAGATTAATAAGTAAAACCACAGAAGTCAGCACTCCATATGGTGTACAAGACAGTCTCACACCAGGGTTTCACTGTGGGTATCGTGTGCACACCCTACTATACTGGAATCTATGAGCTAGGAGCAGCCAGCTGCTATTGTTGCTGTGCACTGTCTCTGAGCAAGAGCTTATTGATTTCTAGCTCATGGCCACATTGGTAAGAAACTGGTGGAAGCCACGTGGAGAGTTTGTAAAACGAGCTCTCAGAGAAATGCACTGAAGGAAAGAACAGGGTGTGGATACCTTTGCGGGGGCCTTCGGAACAATGCAAAAGGTGCCATTGACACTTGGGTTGAAATAAAGCATTTGGCCAAATCACAGAAGAGGATCAAGTCTGTGAGAAAAACTCAGCACTGTTTACAGGAAACAGGAAAGTCCTTTCTGCAAAACCATCACTGCCAATGTTCATCCTACATTTGGCTCCAGGGACTCTGTTGGGTTCTGGGGCTCCAAATAAGGATCCATCAGTCAACAGACTTAGCACAAAAAACACCTGTAAAGGTTCAAGCACCTTTTAAGGCAGCAGTTCTCAACCTGTGAGTCCTGACTCCTTTGGCAAACCTCTATCTCCAAAAATATAAAAATATTTACATTTTGGTTCATAACAGTAACAAAATTACAGTTATAAAGTGACCAAGCCAGTTCAGTCAGTCAACAGGTTCTCCAGGGCAGGAGCAAGGATTAAAAAGAAAAAGACAATTAGATAACATTGTAGCAGGACCCCAGCCAGTTCTGAGGTTGAGGCCTGTTTATTTTCTCCCAATTTGCTTTTATGCCATTTTAATTACATGTAAGTAATAAGGTCAGGCCTAGGCTAAGGAACAAGCAAACAATAAACACAAATAGTCAAGGAACAAGCAAGGCAATAAACAAAGTCCCGTGATCACTGTTTCTAAGGGCTTATCAGGATGACCAAGGTATCTGAGCCTAGTCCAAGGTCATATTCTTGCCTGAAGCCTACTTCTTTGTTCTAGCCTAAAATTAGATTCCTGCCTGAACTTACTTCCCTGTCCTGGCCCAATGTCAAATTCCTGCCAAGCAGCCCCAAAAAGCTCTCCCCAATGAAGTAGCAACAAAAACAATTTTATAGTTGGGGGTCGCCACAACATGAGGAACTTATTAAAGGGTTACAGTACTAGAAGGGGGTTGAGAACCACTGTTTTAGAGGACCCAGCAAACATCTTCCCTAATCTTGTGGTCTAGAGCCAAGAGGAATGAATGGTAAAGACTGAGATGAACCATCCTAATGGCTTCCTTCCTGATGGAAAGGGCCAGCGAGTTCCTTCCTGACCCATACCAGAGGGCCCTGCGTCCCCATCCAGAGCCTTCTAGGCATATTCAAGACTCATTTCTGTAGGGGCAGGAATGGACGTCTATCAAAGTAGCACATAGAAAGGTTCTTCATAACAGGCTGGGCTAACCTCACTCCTCCAAGAGGACATTCTCCTCTGAACCCAAAGACAGAGGTAAGACACTTATGGCAGACCCTCCCCCTCCCCACCACACACGCACCCTCCCACCATGAGCCTGTGCCTGTTCTGAGGGGATGTTTCCTGCCCTGACATTACCCTCTTTCAGTAAAGAAATAAGCCATTTTTGCTTCTTCCTGCGGTTTTCAGCATTTTTATAGTCTAGTAACTCAAGGAGATGGGTATTCTTCATCATGTGAGCATCAGCATCATGTGTAGGGAAAGTAGTGATACAGAAGGATTAAAAACAGGAGGAGATATCATACAGCTCAAAACCAGAAAGGGATGGAACACAATAAATGCCTTTTCAAAAACTCTGAATAAGGACTGGTGAGATTCTTTAACTCCAGAATCCATGGTTTAAAAACAAAACAACAAAACAGACAAGTGTGGAGGTACATGATTGCAACCCAACCACTTGGAAGGTAGGAACAGGTGGGTATCTGAGGCCTAGACTCCTCCATGAGTTCCAAGCAAGTGAGAGACTCTGTCTAGCACACACTCACAGACACGTGCACACACACTCAGTAAGATCCTGTTTCTGTATTCATGTTTTAAAGTGATGTTATACGGGGCTGCCAATGACTCAGAAGACCCACACTTGGTTCCCAGCACCCACACCCAAGGGCTTACCACTGCCTGAAGCTCCAGCTCCAGGGTTCCAATGCTCTCTGGCCTCCTTAGGTACACTCATACACACACCCAGCATGCCGACGTGTACGCATGTACGTTTATATATATGCACACATATATAAATGAAAACATTTTTAAAAAAGATTAAATTTACATTATAATTAGAGGTATCCTTTCATATTTCCCTGCAGGAATAGAGATTTCTGTGGAGCCTAACTAAGGTCCCAGGTACCTGCCCTGAAAGATCTTAAGATCAATCCCAAGACAGACCTCAAAGAGGTCTGGAAGAGTTTAGAACAATGTAGCCTGAGACAGAGTGTACAGTGGTGTAGCCTATGCTAAAGGTCCAAAGGGTAATCCAGCCTAAACCAGAGAAGTCTCTCCCCATATGGCCTAAATGTCTAATGCCCAGGAAGAGGAACCCACACTGCCAGCGTGGCCTCCCTGGTCCACTTTGCAGGTGAGGGAGACTGGACTGTAAGCTTTCTAACCGAACATCCACAACCTTCCTCTTTCTAAAGCAGTCAGAGTGGCGCAAAAATTTCTGATAGAATTTGGGGCTAGTGTTTCTATAATTTTTCTCTTAAATGCTTTTTCCCTTTGAGACAGGAGTTCATGGCTGACTTGGAACTCACTCTATAGACCAAACAAGCTAGCCTTGAACTAAGAGATCTGCCTGCCTCTGCCTCACTAGTGCTGGGATTAATGCTACCACGCGGTTTATTTTATTTTATTTTTTCCTTTTTCTGACTGACATAACAGCCAGCCGGGGTGCAGCTCTGTTGGTAGGGAGCTTGCTTCCCTAACATGGAAGAACCTGGATTGGATCTCCAATATTATAAACAGCTTGCTGGCCAGTGTTTGTAATTGCGGTGCTGTGGAGATGGAGGTGGGATGATTAGTTCAAAATTGTCCTCCTGTACATAGTGAGTTAGAGGTGAGTCCCGGGCTACAGGAGAGCCTGCCTTAAAAAAATAAAAAATAAAAAATAAAAATAAAACGGCATTTAAGAAGGGATGGGGGTGCTGACTCTCCCAGGCGTTGGAAGGTTGGAAGTGCCTTGAAATCCTGCCTCATTGATTGTTCAAATGGAACAACTTTCTTTGCTTGCTATCCCACCCCTCCCACCTGCCATGGTGACTGTCCTTGGCAGAGGGCCAGACCGGCACCCGGTAATTCCATGGTACATTGTGTATATGTGCATCCATTTAACCCGCTATTTAAAGAGATCCTTTGCTGCCTCCTGTAAGAGGTAGAGCCATAATGACACTCTTTAAGTGGCTGGGCTGAGAAGGGGGTTTTCTTCCCTCAAAGATGCCTGAGTCTGTGAAGTGGTTGGCACTTGGAGAAACTAAAGAGACTTCTAGGGACATCACAAGTACAAGACTGGAGGCGAGAAAAGGAGGCGCGTTAGATACAGGGTCCTGGCTCCGGCTCTCCGCTTGGTGGCTCCGTCTCCAAGACAAGGAGGAGAAGGAACCGGCCAGACCTCGGGTGCGGCCTGATTACCAGTCTGCTGCCATTTGGGTTTGGCGAATTCCTGGATCTCCCTAGGGGCCTGGAGATGCGAAAGAAGGTGGAGACTGGGGACTCCTGGGTAGGACGTGTAGTCGGGTAGAATCCGGGGCACAGGACGCCCCCTGGAGTCTAGGAAACTGGCTTATGGAGGCGATTCTAGGCAGTGGAGAAAGAGGGGGCACCTGCGCTCCGGTGCCCGCTACACTTTGCAACTCTGGCGGGTAGCGAGCCGAGTGAAGTGGGGCTCGAGGGCGAGAGGAAGTCGGAGCTCAGGAGCAGCAGAAAAGCTTCCTTAGTTCCGAGTGCGCTCTAGCTGTCCTGGAATGGGATGGTGGTAGGAACATCCAGCACGGCGCACTTCCAAGTCCCCGGTGGCACGTCGCGGGGTATCCGGGGCTCCGAGCCCCCCACCCACCCCAGGCGGGTACCCTCGCGTCCCCCGGTGCTAGCGAGCAGCCAGCGGAGACTTGGACCGCGTGGCTGGCGAACAGTGAACCAAGCCAAAAGGTAAATGCCGCCGGGCCTGCCCACAGCCTGGAAGAGGCGGCGCAGCCCCGGAGCGCCTTTGGTTCTAAGGATCCTCACTTCTGGGAAAGGACCGGGAACTGTCAATCAGCGAGGGAGGGAGCGCACCGGCGCCCGGTGATGTCAGCGGATCAGCTGCTCCATAACAAAGAGGGGGTATCACAGGAGAAAGTTGCAGTGGCGGCAGCACCCCGGAGCCTCGGGGACCGGGGACGAGGGGAGGGGGAGGCGGCGGCTGCGGCAGCCGCGGCTGGCGGAGGAATTGAAAGGACTGTAGGGGGAGGCAGCGCGAGCCGCCCCGACTGCTCCTCCTCTTCCTCCCCCTCCTCCCCCTCCTCCAAACTCGCAGGGCTTAGCTCCGGAGCTCGCTCAGCCACCGCGAGCACCCGGAGGGACGGGAGCCGGCCGCACGGCCCGGTTCTGGGTAGGGTCGCAGCCGCCATGGATAGCGACGACGAGGTGGTGGAGGAAGCCGTGGAAGGTACGATAAGCTTTTCCCCGGGATCCTGGGGTGGGGATAGGCGTCTGGGGCGGAAAGCGCCAAAAGAGTGGCGGTCTGCGACGCGCGCGGGGCCGAGCCGAAGGCCACCGCGGTCCCTAAGCGAATGGCGGGTCGCTCGGCTCAGGCGGGGGCTGCACTGCCTACGCCACGCCGCCGGGAGCGCGCGGGGCGCGGCGGGGCACAGGCGAGGAATGGGGCCCCGCGGGGTCCGCGGCCCTGGGAAGGCTGGGCCCCTGCATCCCGCCGGGCCACAGCAGCATCCTCCCTGGGAGTTACGACGCTGCCTAGCACCTTGGCCTTAGTCCTTGCGGGGATGGAGGATGGGAGGGCGTCGGAGGACAGTCCCTTGAGGCCCGTGATCTCCGCGGAGCAGCGGCGTTTCAGCCACCTCCACTTCCCCTCTCCGACCGCCTGCCCTTTTCCTGGCTGAGTCGCTGCGTCCAGCGGCCACCAGGGCCGGGTCTAGGTGGGTCTTCCATCGCAGCGCACCCGGCCTCACACCAGGCACATGGCAGCCCCGGCCGCTCCTCCCGGGGAGGGGGGGGGAGATGAAATCATAGCTAGGTAGTGCACGACGCTCCCCACCAGGCTTAAACGCTCCGCGTTCCGGAGGCGGCCGGCCGGGGTCTGCGCTGCCCCTGGGTGAACTCAGCCACCCATCCTCTCCCCCTCCCTGGCTTCCGAGCGAGGTGCAGACGCGCCGTGCGGACGCTCCAGCCAGGACCCAAATTGCTGGGTGACACTTAACTTTCTGAATTCCGAGCTGTTGGCTGCGGGTGATATCACCGCCCGGGTGTCAGGTTTCTCCGCCCCTTCTTGCGCACCCTTCCCCCGACTCTCGTCGCCACGGTGTTTTGCTGAGTTTCTCCGCCTCTTTTTTTTTTTAGCCCCCTACTTATAAAACGTCCGTGGGAACGTTATACAATCTCGTTGTTTGTGTCTTGAGAGGTTGTGATTTTGTAACAATGAACACTGGAAAACACTCTTTAAGCGTATTTATTATTTCTCTTAGTCTATCCCAGATAGTGTTCCCGTGATGTTTTGCAAGATTGCGTAGTGTCGTTCCAGAATTTGTTAAACGCAGCAACTCGCTAAATAATTTTAAGTCGATGGTTGAATCTGGTTTTGATCTAATTTGTATAAACAGGTCTGACAAACGAAAAAGAAAACTAAAGTGGCGGCGCTTAACAAATGCATATGGATATGTATTTGTTAGTGCTAAGTTGGAAGAAACCCCTTTTTGGTGTGTTCATAAATACAACGTTTGCAGACTGCTGAAGGCTTAGGGTGAGATGAAGTAGAATAATTTTTTGAATTCCCGGAAAGGCATCCATTCTAATTTAAGTTATAAAATGTATTTCTTCATTTTAGTTTTTAAAACAACAACTTTAAAGTACATAGTTTTGCTTGTAACTTTTGAAAGACTAAAATGTTGTGAATTCACAGAGCTTCTATGTCTCTAAATAAACCCAGTGTTGGGATTAGTGAGGCCCAGACAGCATTACTTAAGCCAGCCATAGGAAGCCTTCCTTAACTTTCAGAGTTATTGACTTCTTGTAAATTTCTGTTATGACAGAAATAATGTTCTTAACAAATTACCACAGTTGTTCTTATTCTTCCAGGTTTTTTTTTAATAGTCCTTTTTAAGGTTTGTTTGGGTTGTTGCTGTTGTTGTTGATTTTTACTTATTTGTTTTATTTCATATGCAATGGTGTTTCTGCTTGCATATATGTCTGTGTGAGGGTATCATATTCCCTGTTACTGGTGTTATACATAGTTGTGAGCTGGCATGTGGGTACTGGAGATTGTTCCCAGGTTTTCTGGAAGAGCAGCCAGGGCTCTTAACCACTGAACCATCTCTCCAGCCCTTCCTCCTATTCTTTTACTTGCAATTTTTAAAAGCAAACCTTTGATCACAGATAGTGCCCCCAGCCCAAGCCACCTTCCCCTGGGCTGATGTTTAGAAATGTGCCCTGGTGTTTATGATCTTAGCACTAGCATGTGAACAAAAACCAGGCCTAGTGGCATACACCTGCAAGTAGAGGTGGAGGCAGGAGGATCGGGAGTTCAAGGTCATCCACCTGCATAGCAAATTCAAACCAAGCCTGAACTATATCAGACCCTGTCTCAAAATAAAAATGTTTAAAGTATGTTTTCAGGTTTCATGTTAGTCCAGTGAATTCAAAGCTTCAAAACACTGACGTTTCTTTACATAAATGGGGTGTGTGTGCGTGTGTGAAGAAGGGGGAGTCTTTCTATATAGGATAGACAGACATAGCATACTATAACTCAGCTCATTAGAGCAAGAAAGGCAGCATTAATAATTATGCTATGACAGCTGGCTTAAACCATGGCTTGTCTTGGGCACTCACTCAGTTTTACCTAAGAGTAAACAACAAGTAGAGAAAGGGTTGTTTTGCTTTTTGTAGATTTTTGGTTTTGTGGATTTTTGAAACAAGATCTCTGTGGCCCAGGCTGGCTTTGATGTCATGTGCTGAGGTTTCAGATGTGAGCAACTAGACCTGGAGTTTTAAAAGAACAACAACATTTTCTTTCCTCTCTCTCTCTCTCTCTCTCTCTCTCTCTCTCTCTCTCTCTCTCATTCTCTCTCTCTCTCTCTCTCTCTGTGTGTGTGTGTGTGTGTGTGTGTGTGTGTGTGTGTGTGTGTGTGTTGGTCAAGCAATAGGCCACTGAGCTACATACTCCAGCCCATATTTTAAAGTCTTTAGTGGAGCATATATGTAATCCCAGTTACATGGAAGGCAGGTAGAGGATCTTTTTTTTTTTAAGACTGGCAGTTCTAACAGAGCTTGGACCTATACTAGGTAGATTCTGTCTCAAAAACATAAAAAGCAGTAGAGAGATGGCTTGGTGCCTGCTCTGGAAGAGGACCTGGATTCTGTTCCCAGCACCTGCATGGCAACTCAGAGCCCTCAGTCATTCCAGTTCTGCTGGCATCAACACCCCTACTTATAAAACAAAACAAATACATCAAAAGGGGGAAGGAAAAATCCTTGAGAAGCATCTCGGGCTCAGTTTTGCAGTGTGCCCTGAGCAAGTGTGTGCTTGCAGGAAACTACACCCCTGGCCCTTCTCCAGGTATTATTTGCCTTGGCACTTTGCACTGCTTTTTACTTAAAGTCTAGCACACATTTCTGGATAGGTATAAACGAACGGCTGTGATCTTGTCCTAAATAGAAAGTCGTCTGTGTGCACGTCTCATCTCTGTGCACACATTGTCTTCTGATGTTTTCCTTGTCACAGCTATTATCAGCATCGATGCAGCTCTCCTTACAGGCAGATTCCACACTGCGCCGCTCAGACATTACCCCTCCAGCCGTGGGAGTGGGTACTATATTATACTCCTTTTACAGAGAAGCTTTGACAAGTTAAGGACAGGACACCTGTCAAAGAAGGGAGACAGTCTAGACTTGTGAAATTCTTTGTCATTGTCCTACCATTCTTTCTAATTCCTACAAATCTACATTCCTTCCTTTCTTTCCCAGCAATGTCTCATTCTGTATTTTATAGCCTAGGTTAACCTAGAATTTATTTTGTAGCCTAGGTTGGCCTGGGACTCACTATGTAGTCCAATCCACCTGCCTCAGCTTCCTGAGTGCAGAATAATGGCATGAACCATACTCATTGACATCGCTCATCTTTTTAAAGCATTTCCCTTTAATTTTTTTTTTTGCTTGTATTCATTTGTTCTATGTATATGAATGTTTTTCTTACACGTACATCTGTGTATCATGTGCCTCCTGACTGGCATTGTAGACATCTGTGAACCACCATGTAGGTGCTGGGAATTGAACCCCAGGTCTAGCAAGAACAAGCGCCTTAACCACTGAGCCATCTCTCCAGCCCAGCATTTCCTTTTAGAAACTCATTTTTTTTCTTATTTTAATCAGTTAATCAAACATGTGAAATGCTTAGTGATTGGGCTAAGAAGCAACAGTTAATACGTGATGGCAATACCATTCATGGTGATTCTGTCACTTCTGAGGTAGCTTCTTCCATAGAGGGTGAGTAGGTTTCAGAAAATATATATATATATTTGGAGAAAAAGAATCTGACCTTCAGCCTCCACAGCAAATGTCATTTCTCTTCTTTTCCCTCCTCCTCTGAGGAAGACATTGACCTGACCAAGCCAGCTCAGCCAGTCAACAGGTTCTCCAGGGTAGGAGTGAGGATTAAAAAGAAAAAAGACAATTAGACAACACTGTAGCCTGACCCCAGACAGTTCTGAGGCTGAAGCGGGTTTATTTTTCCCAGTCTACTTTTATACCACTTTAAGTATATGCAAAATAATAAGATCAGTTCTGGATCAAGGAACAAGCAAGGCAATAAACAAAATCCTGAAAACATCTTTCTAGGGGCTAGTCAGGATGACCAAGACAAAAGGAATCCACACATGCCTTGGCTGAGCCTGCTCCAAGCTTTGCATTAACTCAAAGGTAAATGTTCTTAACCTGAACCTATTTCCTGAATCCTTGCCCAAAGTCTGATTCCCACCTTGAGCTTACTTCGTTCTGGCCAGATGTCAAATTCCCAACAAGTTTCTAGAAGCAGTCCTAAAAGCTCTCCACATTGGCCTCTTCAGGACTTGAGGTCAAATGTCTTATAAGGTGGTGCACACTTTGAATCTCATGGTGACATTGCAGCCCTGGTGAAGTTTTTCTTTAATTAACGTATGTTTTTTCTTGGATGCACTTCTCATTCTGTCATCATTGGCTCTCCTGGAACTCATTATGTAACCTGAGCTAACCTCAAACCGGCCATGATCCTCCTCAGTCTCCCAAGTGCTGGGATTATCGGACCTTGTTGTCCTAGTACAGTTCTGAATATAAGATGGATGAGTCCTCACACTCCCACCCCCATGGAAAGGACTCAGTGTCAGGAGGAAGCAGTTTGGGTTGCAGGGTCTGCCCTGCTTCTGTGGGAAGCCAGTTAGCTTCCGTGCTCAGAGCACCTGGCAA